CAATCATCAATACCTGCTATATCCCAGGAGAGACCGCGCTACCTCTCGCCAGCGTTGATATGTAATCACTCCCCAATCCCCCATCAGCTTCCTGTCCACCAGCGGCTACTGCAGGCCAGCAGCTGTCCGAGATACATGATTGCTCTCATTCGTTTCTGTATGAACAGAAGCTTGAAACAGGCAGATCGAATCAAAGACAGAAAGTCGGCTTATGCGGCTGTCGAATGGACCACCCCCAAATCTTCCCCCATCGTCTGACGGCGCATCTTCCACTCCCACATATCCCTGCTGCTCCGGCGACAACGTCAAACTTCAAGAAGCTCTTTCAGGCCTCGATTTATCTTACCTCTTCAGGCCAAAACGGTCCCTGGATCTCACTGGTCTTTTGATGACAAGTCTTGATTTTATACCGAACTTGGACACTGCTTGCTGACATGATATGTGCTGTCCATAGACGCCCACTTGCGCGCGCAGCTTGAGCTACTAAGCAAGCACACCGCGCCCGGCTCGACAGACAACGCGACCGGCCCAGCTCGCGGAGCTCGCCCTCAAGTTCCCAACCCTTTGACCGCGTCACCACCGCCGCCGGCACATGGCTATAGTAACGGCTCGACCTCGCCCACTGACGTCTTGCCGCCGATCGTTAATAACCAAGCCGACCCGGAAGCGCATATCCACCCTGATCTCCGAGCTCGAATCACGCACGCTCCAGCCGTCAACATGATGCCCGCCGGTGTACCAGTTCAACCGCAGCAGCAAATCGCGCCTCCCGTGACGACTGCCGGTCCTTCTACCGCGCCTCCTGTTCATTCTCCTACAGAAATGGACTTGGACGATGGCGCGGAGGGTCGCAAGGCTAAGCGCGAACTGTCACAATCCAAGCGCGCCGCGCAAAACCGAGCTGCCCAGGTACGACAATCACAATCGAAAATGAAAGCGCTGGATCAATGGCGCAGACGACTGTCGCAGTGCTCTTGATACATGGGAGACTATTGCTGGCTCGCCAATCAACCACTGCGACAGTGCCAACTGCATCCAGCGCGCCCACCCCAAAATCTCTAATGTGACCTGATGATGAGCTTGAGCTGACTTGAATGCGCCACAGAGAGCTTTCCGCCAGCGAAAGGAGGGATACATCAAGAAGCTTGAGCAACAAGTTAGAGACTATATGGAAATGGAGGGACAGTACAAGACGATGCAGTCAGAGAACTACGCGTTGCGCGAGTACGTGATCCACCTCCAGTCACGCTTGCTTGATCTTCAAAGCGAGATCCCGCAGCCGCCGCCCAATGTCAACCTTCAGCAACCGGCACTCCCGCCACCTTCGGTCCCGACAAGTGCTCCCGAAGCCCCGCCTAGCAATGCGGGTGCTGGCCCTCTCGAGGCCGTTGCGCAGGCAGTGGCCGGCTTGCAGGCCCAGGAGCAACTTGCACAGAGAGATCAGTTCACAAGGCCCGAGGGGGCGACGAAGGAGGAGCCGCAACGTGAGGCTGATGGACCCATTGACCCATCGCTGCCGGATGGCCTTCCGGCTCCGACTGCGTCCATGTGAGCGCGTCAAGAAAACGAGGACGCGTCGCATTTGAATCATGGTTTTCACGTCGCTGGCGTTGCGGTACAATGGTTTGTCAAGATATTACTAGTGGACTGGCGTTACCGGCATGGCTTCTATCCACCCGTTGTGGGTGTTTTTGTTTGCAATGCCCTCGGGTTTGATGTTCTTCAAAAGAGAGACGAAAGTAGGGATTTCGTGATTGTAACATTGACACGAGAGGCGAAGAGTGTCAAGGAGGAGGAAATCGAGGAACTGAAGGAACTTGATACGAACCTCGAGGTGAGCTCCGGCTTCGTCTTGAGTATTTGCTGTCATTTGTACCACTCGGGCCTATACGCGACGTACATCGAGATCAACCTCGGACAATGTTTCGTTTCATTACCACGAAGCCGAGGGTGACCTAGGCATCGTCTGAAAGTTTCATTGCAGATAGCTTCCGCAGAAAATCTTTTTTTTGCATGGCCTCATAATGAGCTGTTGCCTTCTGGCTCCCCTCACACGATGCGACGTGTCAGATATGTATGACCAAGGCTCGAACATGTTAAGGTCATGAAGGGATAGCAAAGCTCGGCTTTTGTTTCATCAATAAGACTAGTGGCAGACTAGTAAGAAGACGTGTTAAAGTAACATAAGTTGATTGAAATAAAGCCCGGCATTTGAATTCTCCCATTTCCCCTTCCCCTTTAAGACGTCCCGTTCCCTAGCCATAAAAAACTCGCCACTGCTGCAAAGCGCCCCTTCTCGATTTCTTTTCTCTCCTTTTGTAACTAATTATACATATGAAGTATTGCCAAGGTCATGCTCCTATGATCAAATAATGTTAGCCTGTTTTCTTTACTTTCGAAGATGGGGGGGATAGTTTGAGTGAGACTCACCTTGAGATACTCGGAGCCCTTCTCCTGATACTCTTCCCGCGTAATCGTAGCAGCCTTCCAGGCATCCGACCCAGCCCACCCGGCAGCGCCCTTCCACGCGTCAAGGAGGGCGTCCTCGGCGCGGCGGATGGCAAGCGGCGCGGCGGCGGGGAGAAGAGGCCTCAGCCCCTCGCGGAGACGCTCGTCGAAGCCCTGGAAGAGCGTGTTGCCGCCCGTGAGGAAGACGTCCTTTAAGAAATCGTCGCGGTTCGGCACGCCGCCCAGGCGCTGGTTGAGTATGTCGCCGACAATCTCGATGAGACCCCCTTGGTCGACGCCGGCAATGGACGGCTGGAAGACGACCTCGGGCACGCGGATGCGCTCGACGTTGAGGTGGATCTGGTTCAGCTCGGCCTGGGAGCCGGCATCAAAGGGCCGCGGGCCGCGCGCAAAGGCGTGGAGCATCGAGGTCGACCAATCCGTCTTGGCCTCGTGGGTGTCTTCGTAGCCAAAGTCCGGGTCGTAGCGCAAGAGATCCTCCTCGTACGTCTTGAGGTTCGCCTCGAGGTTTTCCTCTTCCTGCTCGTCGTCGCTGTTGTCGCCGACGGTGATTTGGCGGTACACGCCCCAGTCGTCGTCGTTTTGTCCAAAGTTGTCGTCGTCGCCGCCACGGCGCCTCTTCTTGACCGGGTTGTCGGACGCGAGGTTGGCGATGCTCTTCATGCGGATCTGCGAGGCGAGCGACTTGCGGTTGCCCAGGTCCTGCTTGAGGCGCTCGCGCTCCTTCATCTTTTGCAGCGTCACCTCACGCGCCTGGCGCCTCTCCTCGAGCCAGCCGTCAAGGTCGTTCTCACGGCGCTCCACGTCCAGGCGCTTCTCCTCCTCGACGCGGGCCTTTTCGGCCTCCTTTTCGGCCTTGGCGCGCGCGCGCGCGTCGTGGTTGGATTTCATGAGCTTTTGCTGGCGCTTGGCCTTGATGCCCGCGTCGTCGAGCTCCTCGTCCGGTACATCGAGCAGGTCGAATACCGGCTCTTGCTGCTCCTCTGCGGGGTCGCCGCCAACGTCCTTTGTACGAGCCTTCTTGACCGCCTTCTCGAGGGTGGCAATGGCTCTCTCGAGCGCCGCTTCGTCCTTAAGGTCGTTGCTATCGAGCAGACGCCTGACCTCCTTCTTGTTGGTCTGCTGCTCCAGCTTGATCTGGAGCTTCTTGTACTGTTCGAGCTCGTTCTCCTTGCGCATAAGCTTTTCGAGGCGCATCTTCGCAGCTTGTTCCTGTAACCGCCGGCCGCTCTCCTTCTTCCGCTCGGCAATGCGAGCCAACTCCTCTTCCGTCTTTTGTACAATGACCTCCTCCGTAAAGGGGTACTGGATGACAATGTCCCGGTCCTCAAGGCCGGTCCAGTCCAAGTAGCCTCCCACCTCGGTATTGTAGTCTTTTGAAACATAGGCATGGTCGCGCAGCATGTGTTCGGCCTGAGACACGTTGAGCTTCCCGTTGAAAGCAGGGTACTTCAGCCGAATCAGCTTCAGCAGGTACTCTGCCGCATGCCACCCTCCCCAGTTCAATCTTGTAGTTTGGCTCAGCAAGGCCTTGTGATTGTAAACGGGTATCACGTGTGTAGAGGTATAGGATGACGAAACCACAAGGCCCGTGTTTCCCTTGTTATGTGTGTAGGAGAAGAGCGAGTCGATGCCGTACGCTAGGGAGGGTGCGCCGTAACATTCGAATACGATTTCTGTCATAGCTTTGGATACGTTAGCTGTTGGTCTTTACATGCCGCGAGAAACCAGCTTACATTTCCGGGAGTAAGGCAAGTTGGCTACCGCCTCCGTCATGACAATGGGCATGTCGATGGATGAATCGTCTCCGTTTAAGCCGAGCTTCAGAAAGATGTAGTCGAGAACGTGCTCCATGACGTCCCAATTGCTGACAATACCCGTCCCTTGTTCGTGCGCATATCGTGTGTGACTCCTTGCTGTAGTGTCGGCGTAGCAGTCGCTTCCCGCAAAGGAATACGTCTTCCCGGCTTTTCGGTCGCGGTATTTGGCCATGATCGGTGGGATGTTGAGCCTCGGTTTCTCTTCAAACGACCATCCTGCGCGGACGGTCGAAGATCCTATCGACCGTCAGTCAGATAAAACGCCGTCGTTATATGCGTTTCTCGGAGACCTTGCGAGCTTACCATTGTCGATTACGATGGCCGCGCCTCGGGATGACTGCGCAAGTGCCTTCTCCCGTCCATCCTGCTGCACCGGAATCGGCTTCTCGAACTTGGCTTCCTTGACCTGAAAGATCTTGGCGGGCGGGTACGTCCTCTCGGGAGGTCCTGGCAGAGGGGGGAGCTCGCCCGTTGCTGAGGGCGCCATCGCGATGTTCGTGTGTTGGAGGAAAGGTCTAGGGTGTCGCAGTGCGACGGACCATGCTTGGGATTTACGGGCAGTGGTTGATGGATTTTTGAAGCTGTACAGCTGGCGACGTCTTCAGCGGGGATGATTGTCAAGGTAGAAAGCGTCTACGTCACGTGCGTCGCGTTCAATGCGTCTACTTGATTACGGTTGATGAAGTTGCGATGCGCCGTTGTTGCGAGGCTGCGCGGCTGTAAATTTCAGTGGACCCTGCCCGGCTTGTGCTGCTCGGGTTGCAGCGCAGCTACGCGATCTTAGCGCAGCGAAGGTAAGAGGATCTTAAGAAGTCCAAGTGCAACGCCTGACAACATTTGAATTCACTTGCACGATCTGCCAATCTCAAAGTGCCCACAGCCTTCGCGAAATGGAAGATCTTTGCAAAAAAAATTGTTTGTTCAGGATTCTGAAGTTATTCTTCAGAGCTGGCTTATCAGGGGGTATCTGCTCTAAGACTTGTGAATTGCGCCTGGAAATGTCATCAATCTTGTCTCATTCCTCATCCGTGCTCCCAGCGCGTAATAACGGGTTATGCAATCCTTAAGCAGGCGGCTTCAGATTGTCCGTGGCTGGCTTAGAATTAGCATTGATTCATCATGCATCGTGGCCGGAAACTTACCCTCGAGATGGAACAAGACATTGGACTGGTAGTTCTTGAACATTTGAGCGACGAGTTCGACATTCATGTTCTCAATGTTGATCTCCTGGGATCCTGTATTAGCCACGGCGCAATGCCATGGAATAAGAATGAGTAGCTTACCTGCAGTGACCTGTTCATGACCATGACGGCCTCGTTGAGTTTCTCCTAGGACTGTGTAAGTCGATGACCTGGCAGGGTTGTTGACGGGAGTAACATACCACATTGGTTATGATGCGAGAAAGCAGCAGGTTCTGTTGGTGCTCATGAGGACTCTCCTATTATTTCCATCAGAATGTATTTCAAACTGAATTGTGAGCGACTACGTCTGGAACCATACCATTTTGACGGGCACGTATTCGTGTTTGTGATGTGTTTGTTTACTCAGTTATAAGGACCCCACCACAATCGTAGATGACTTAACTCAAACGGTGCTCTAGGCATTACTCACCGAGTTCACCGAGCTCCTACCACAGCGGTGAGCACCGGCAGAATAAGCTACCCGGCCACTGCTTCCCTCGTGTTGCACAACCAGCCATTCACCTCCAATTCATGCAGCAAAGCCTCGAGATCGCAGCTCAAACACCCGAAACCGCACAATATCATACCACAAACGAAATGGCGGCCCCGAAAGAAGCAACAGAGGCGCAAATAGCCCACCAAGCCCTCCTCGACGAGCTCGACATCCACTCCATCCACAAGAGCTTCCGCAACCCGTCCTGGAAACCCAACCAGCGCCGCAACAAGAACATCAAGACCATCCTCGGCGACGCCTCCCGCCGCGAGGCCTCGGCCCTGGCGACCCCGCAACAAGAGGAAGTCAGCGCCGCGGCCACGCCAGCCGGGAAGCAAGGCGACGACGGCCTGTCCACGAGCGGCGCCTCGACGCCCGCGGCCGGCAGTGGCAGCAACGGCAACAACAGTAATCCGAACCTCGCGCAGGCCTCGCGTAGTCTCTCGAAGCTCGTGCTAGAGAAGAGCCTGCGTCCCAACGGTGCCGCCGGTGGCTCGGGGCCGAGTGTCACGTACACCAACGTCGAGTCGGCGCCGTCGCTGGCGCACACGAAGCGGTATTGCGATATCACGGGGTTGCCGGCGCCGTACATTGATCCCAAGACGCGGCTGAGATATCACGACAAGGAGGTGTTTGGGCTCATTCGGACTCTGCCGCAGGGCGCGGCTGAGCAGTATCTCGAGGCACGTGGTGCGCATACTGTTCTCAAATAAGGGGTGTCTACAGCTTTGCATCTTATGGACTGGTCGGACAACGGCGGCGGCGGCAGGAGGCAGTAGACATGATAGTGTCACTTTTCACGGTTCAGGCGTTACTGGGGGTCAAGACTGTGGTCATGAACCAAGTTTCGGAGTCACTGGGGTTTCTAGCGGAATGAGTCTTTTTAAAATCAAGACGATAGGTATGTTTCATACGAATGAGCTACTAGGTTTGGGAAGTCTATGTATGTGCGACCAACAAAGTCAAATATCAACTATGCAGCCCTGCGCCTTTCAGCATAGGGTGTTAAATGACACTCCGGCTTAATCGTGATAAACTGTTGTTCTTCGCCTGTGAATCGACAGATTACCGAGAACGTATGGGAAACGATACTCAGTTGCCGTAGCTTGAAGCTACAGCCGCCGCGGCGGAACTGCTATGCAGTTGTGTTTTGCCTACCGTTGGGTTGAAGAGCATCAGACTTGCCTGAGTACGGTCGCGTGGACGATCTCGCTCGTATATCAGATGTGCTGGAGCTGATGGTCTGGATGCCCTCCTCTGTGTCAACAGAGCATCTCCGCGACGATGCTGTCCTCCATCGCGAGGTCTTCTAGCGATTTGCTAGATAGTATCGGTAATAGTTGCCCAACTAGTGGGAAACGTCGAGAGCAGCCATCTGTAGAGAAACCAGTTGCGACAAGTGTCAACGAATTTATTGACTAGGAAACCCATCAAAGTGTTTCCTAAGCGCACCATGTGTAACCTCGCCAGCCGGCCATTCCTGATGCGTGTGTCGTCGAGTGCTCCAGGGGCGCATTCAACACTGGTTGATGTTGAAGGAGCAGGATGATATTTTTTCCAACTGCAGCGCGGGTTAAATCCATCGTGGGAAAATTGAAGACACGACATAATTGGTTGACTTTCCTAAATGGGCCCACATAATATTGGTGGCTTTTCGATGCACCGCGCACCCGTGGCACACACCCCCAAACCCCCAAGAGTTAGGTACGTTCTGTGACGGCGCGGCCAAGCACCAAGAACTGCAGCAAAGACCCCTGCTTGCGTGCCAGCGGCCGGCACCTTTCCCCCTGGTGATCTGTTCTTTGTTTAATCAAAAAATATTACGGCAGCTCAGTCCAACTATACGCCAATCCTCTCTCGCCTATCTCTCATCCTCTTTACGCGATTGCAACGCCCTCTTCGGATTCTTCTCGTCTTACAGCTACGTACAACAAGCACCCCTCGAACGACCGAATTGAAGCTCCCCTTCTTATCCCACCACTCCCGTACACATACACACACCCCTCGACCTCGAACTCGAACGAAGCTAGGAGCATATACCCAAGATGGCGTCAATGTGGATGTCCGACTCTCAAAGTACGTCTCTTTGCGCCCAGCCATACGGGCAACACCGCACCGATTTTGCGCAGCTTCTACATGTGGTGTCAAGGACTATAGCTGACCTTTTATTCACAGAAATTGGAGTAATCTTTTGCTCCGGAGGTACGTTTTGCGCCATCGCCAGCAACTCTCTGGCGCATCGAGTAGCACACGCAGGAAGGGAGATTTACAGGAGCTAACTTCTCTGCGCTTCCGACAGGAGGATTCTTCCTCATCGGCGGAGTCATGATGTTCTTTGACCGGGCAATGTGAGTCGTTTTCCTTGCGGATTTGAGCTCTTCCCCTTGGATTTCACGACAAGCGCTAACATGATCCTTTCTCAGGCTGGCCATGGGAAACGTACGAAGCCCAATCCGCCCTCTCTCCCTTCTCCCTGACCACCTCCTACGCAACCTACGAAGAGAAAAAAAAAGCTGACCATCCGACCTCCCAAAAAAACAGATCCTCTTCCTCATCGGCCTAACAATCATCATCGGACCCCAAAAGACGCTCCTCTTCTTCGCGCGGAAACAAAAGGCAAAGGGCACGGCCGCCTTCTTTGGCGGACTCGCGCTCATCCTGCTACGCTGGCCCCTGATCGGCTTCTGCGTCGAGCTCTACGGCATCATGGTTCTCTTTGGCGACTTCCTCGGCACGATTGCCGCCTTTGCGCGGAATATCCCCGTCATTGGGCCGTATATCGGGACCGCGGTCGATCGGTCTGGCATTGGTCGCCGGAATGCCGAGTTGCCCGTGTAAGTTCCATCGGAAGGCGGGTGATGTATCAACGTATCAATGATTTCGGGAGCCACTGGAATGACGATGCTCTTTTGGACGGGAGGGAATAAGCGTATAGACGGATTGTATACCATTACGGTGCAGGTCGGGTCCGGGCCTATGATTTGATAAGACTTGTAATTACACGCGAATTTGCTTTCGGTTCATGGGACAAGGCGAGTCTCGAGACGACGGACTCGCTCAGGGATAATGAATGAACGGAGAGACACTTCACAATCATCTGGCACAAGAAGAGCGTAAACACGCATCAGTGACACAAAGGGTTGGCCGCGGCTAAGCAGAGATTCCGCCATTGGAAAAGTCATGCTAATCTAGTGTTCGTCGATTCGTATTGTCAACATCCTCGTGTGTACGCGGGAGCGAGATGCCCAGCCTGCCTCGCACACAGTAACTCCAGGGATTTGTTTCCTAGAGCTGCAAAAAACCCCCCCGCGCGCCCCGCCTTACGCCATCATCTCTTCTCCCCGGGCTGGTATTCTAGTAGCTCACACTGACGAGGTAGTCTGCCAGCTTCTCCACTGCCAGAGTAGCGCTACCGGCCTGCGCGTTCTCGCCGTGGTGGCCGAGAAGGATAGCCTGGGTCGACTTGGCGACGGCGATGCCCTCCTTGCCCTGTTCAAACGATTCAAGTCAGCCCTTCTGCGGATGATGCCATGCTTTTGTGCTTTCGGTGTGTGGTGCGCCCAAACCTTTCGTGCGTAAATGGCACCCTCCTCGGCACGGGCCATGACGTATCTCTCGCCGCCAATGAACAGACCATCGGCAAAGGCCTTGTCCTTGACGTCCGACTTTCCGGTAACGATATCGGCAACGACCTTCATCTCCGTGGCGGAGAGCTGTATTGCGCAAGGAAAATTGTTAGTACTAGTACAGATAGCAAAGGGGGGTCGTTGGTTTGACGATTGAAGGCGGGATGACATACGGTGAAACCGGCGCTCGACGCCCACGTGCTGTCACCGGCGATGCTGATGATGGCGGCCTTGTCAATGTGGCCGGTGCCGACCAAGCTACAGATCCCATGTCAGTCTCCCTGGCCCATTGTATAGCTCAACGATCCTCGCGATGCGAAAGCGGTGAACAAAAACCTGGTGCAAAGCTACCTGGTGTCAACGTAAGCTGTAGAGAGAGGTCGTTAGCTCATTCTGATGATTCTCGAGGTGGGGTTCCTTCGGGGTTGGCTTCTCCCTCTCCCTCTCTGTCTCCCTCCTGAGAGCTGCCAACAACCCGCATCGGCCCCCCGTGGGGGTGGGAGATTGCGAAGTGAGCTCACCTTGCCACGACATGATGAATGAAGGAAGACGGGAGGAAATAAGAGACTAGTGCTCGCTGGTGCAAATAACAAAAAAAGAGACAAGAAGCTTCTCTGTGTTCGAAAGGGGGTGTGCAAAAAGCTCAAGCTTTGACGCGGTGTGGGATACGGAGGGGAGGAATTTCGGTTTGTGACTGTTGATGTTTCTTGTTCCTCTTTCCTGCCTGACGTTTGCCCCTCTCTGCTCCGAGGAATACCTCCATTACCTTAGCAAACCAATTTTTAGGTCCAGCGGGCCGGGCGGGGTATCACGCTACCTGCTGAGAGGTCATTGCAGTTGCAAAAGTAGCGGTGCGGGGTACTTTCTTCAGCATGGTGGGCATCGTAGGCGAATACCTCTGTTTCTCGTTGCTTCCACCCCCCGGCAACTGTGAGGTGCTTTGTTCAGGAAACGTCCAGCAATGTCATGCAGCTATGCAGTAAGGGACTGCCAAAGAGTTGCTGTACCTTATCCGAACATTCTCACCTAGCTTCTGATTCCCAGCCTTGTCTGATGAATTGAGTCTCCCATCTATCTATCTACCTGCACGCAGTATTCCGTACCTGAGGTAGCTAATCCACTCGAGAGAGAGAGCTTAACGAGTCCACACGATCCGCCGGGTATTCCCATCGCCGCCTTTGTAGCCATTACCTTGCTTCAGGTACCTTACCTTACCGCCTTACTTATCTCCCACCTGGGTGCCACTTCCGGAAGCTGCCCCGCCAAACGCATTGTTGAGTCACGTGATGGCGGGGTGACTGTGCGAGTATGATGGAAACGGCACAGTACGGATACGGCATTGTCGGTCCCACCCATTTGAGGGCCGTCACCGCCTCAGCTCGCCACATTCAATGCGCCACGGAAGCGGCCCCCAATTTCCATCTCCGCCAAGCCCAACACATCTCTGCCGGCGGCCCGGCAGAGCTCTAGCCCACCGTCCATCTCTATCGTCGTTGTCGGTATCAATAATCTTTGGTTTTCAGCAGGAATGAAGGAGCGAGACAGACGATTAACAGATGGGAAGGTAAGGAAGGACGTGCAGAATGGAAACATTAGGAGGAAGGAGCTACTTCCCAAATATGTTTGGTTCGTCCATGCAAGAAGGAGCGCGTATTCCATGTTAGCCACCGCAGCTACCTTCAGCCCGACTTGCGCTCGATGTTTCCACCTATCTTTATTCTGTCTGCCTGCATGCGGTCAACAGAGCTGCCTACAAGCGGCGAAGTCGAGGACGCTTGATCACCGACGGAAGTCCGCCCACAACGCACCTCGGGAGTCGAAAGACGGGACGTTTCCGTCTTCAGCTCGGTCCTGCGCAGTCGTAGTCGTCTATCCAAACGATCGGGCCTTTGGACTTCTTGTCCCCATAACGCTGGGTTCCAGGCTGTACTGCATCTCTCCCAGGCTTTGGCCTCTCTTCATCAGATGGAATTGCGCGCGCCAGCGTACACGTCCGATCATCTGGATAAACTATCAGAGTTGTTTCCACTCGAGGCCTCTCACGGGATGCTACATTGTCAACGGATTGTCACCCGGGGCACCGCCTACGTTACGCTTGATCCGCCGCTGTATCACACCTTAAATGACCGCCCTGGTCGTCTTGTCATCCCAACAACAACGTTTCCCGGCTCCCAAGTCCTGATTTTGGACGGATTCACGAATCCATCTACGGGCTAGGAAAGAAATCGAAACGAAGACTGAATTTCTTAGAAGAGACACAGACACCAAAGCCCAGACTTATTCTATTCGTAGGATAATCAGCCGGGAGGAACTGCTTAGCTTGGGATCGGCTGCCGCAAACCTACTTGCAGGTGCAGCGGAGGGCTCGGCTTACACGACGGCTGGGTAAACTCAACCATGCAAGAAACGAGCTGCATCTGCATGACATTATTCGTGAACATCACATGAGTGATGAAGAACACGAAAAGGGATTCGAGGCATCACTTCAGACGAACTTTGAGAACACGGCATGCTGTTCATCAAACCAGTTTTACTTTTTGACAGCAATGCGATCACCTCCTGGCAACAGGGTATGCTATCTTCAGAGTACAAGGGCACACTTGGCGATGGTTTCTTCAGGGGCGCCTTTACGGCATCTCTTGACTGACGATATCTCTTGGAAGCGACCAGACCGACAGGGTGTCTTCCTGAAGGCCAGCAAAGTCTTTACTCGCGCTCTGGCCACTCAACGGACACACTGGCTGGCGGATTTGCAATCTTGAGACGATCATTCGGCTGTTCACCCTGGACGAGACAGTTCAAACCCCGTCGCTGGATAGCCTTGCTGCATCCTCCCATCACCTCTAAGCTCCTGATCTGCCCTGATACCTGGTCAGCCTTGTCACACAGGATTCCTCAATAGCCTGCGATTCTTTGGGGCCATTCTAGGCTCCAGGGCCTCGAGGATGATCTGACTGTGGGCCTATCGTGGACCGAGAAGAACCACAGGTGCTTGTCAGCGCCCAGGCCCAAGCGTACAGCACGTCACACGCAGCCAACGCCAAAAAGTTCGAGAACAACAAACTCTTCAACGCTCGGCGACGCCCACCTCAGCAACAGCGCTCCGTGTTCCGGGAAGTCTGTTTCAATACGACACCTTCTAAGATGGAGGGTGTTTGATTTCTTCCGGCTGACAGGACAACCTGTAAGGTCCAACAGCAGACGCATACGAGGCACTAGGGCGTGTCGTCTACCAGATCCCCCCGAGCGATGACACCTCGAGCGGCAGACTTATTCAGCGTCGGCCTCATGTAAGCTGCCAATTTCGTATAACTTGGCGCGTCCTCTGTCAACCAGCTTCCAAGAGACGTGAGCTGCTTGCATTGTCTTCGCAATGTCATTGCATGGTTGTATCAGGGAACACAATTAGTGTTTATGCCCGTGGGCGTACGAAGTTACGAGACCAACGTATACGGTATCCGTCCGTACCTGTGCGGGAATGGACCCAACAAGAAGCGGTGGGAAGATGGACCGGGAAATAACCAAGATTTGATCAAATTACACCGACCAGCGCTGGCGTCACGCTGGATAAGCAGACCTTGTGTGAGAAGGTTATTTCCTTGATTGTGGACCATGGTTGGTGAGAAGCCGGATGAGCAACGATGTCTCTGATCCTTTCATTTAAAACGAGAGACCCGTTTGATGTCAGAGTGGGGGATCGGTACATGCGTGGGCAGGGCGTTGGTAGCCCAGCGGTGCGGAGAGGATCCGCGACTGCAACGTCGTGTAACTCTCATTCGCTGACCGCATCGGCTGGGAGATTGAACTTCAAATGAAGCAATTTTCAGCCTGGTGACCGTTGGGCAAATCTTGGGGCGGCACTGGGCGTCAGAGGGGACGTCCCCGTGTTACTCATCTTGAGTCTGGGCCAGTCCCATCTTTCAGAGGCGATTCGGATCCCGGCTGCCCCAGTTTCTTGCGATTGGGATCAGTCCAGTTCGACGACTTCAACGGTCGCTTACACATTACCGCGACGCAGTGACGGTCTCTCGGATTATGAGCGAATCGATTACATCGACGGACGAGGCTTGGGCCTCGGGGGGCCGACGACAACGAAGGCGAGAGGACGTGCGATATGACAGGGACGGCCCTGAGGCTTGTTCCCCCCGGGCTGGGGTAACCCAACCTTTCCAGGATGTCCTGCAGACCAAGCACGGATGCGACCCTCCCTCTTCTCTCATCCTTCTCGAATCCCTCCCCTCTTTAGCTCTCTCTAGCGGCAAGGTACGGCACGATACGACGGGTGGCACAACAAGGCATGTGGGCGTAGTCAATTTGAAGTCAAATTGCTTCTTATGAGCTTTCCGACGAGAAGCTCCAGAACGATAATATCGGACCCTGCCGCGGGTTGACGATGGAGTCATCCGAGGCTTCTCACTCAGCTCTTGACTCTCAGCCCCCTCAGCCAGCCTTGACCCGCCACGCCGCACGGCAGTGTCAAAACAAAAATCAGACTATCCAGAGTCTCTAGACCTCTCGGTTACCCTGCAGATGACGACTCCGTTAATCATGCTTCGCCGCTGTGCTTCCCTACAGTTCTCGCTAAGTCTGACACACGAAACCGCAAGACCTCCACTCGACCGCAGAAGATACGCGACTTATCGTTCACAAACGACCGGGACCCTCGATCCACAGACTAGCCCAAGGACAGGATGTCGAAGTTCGTCATCCTTGTGTTGATCAGCCCCCCCCCCCCTAAATAACCCGTCCTATCAATCTCAAACAGGCGACAAAGTTGCGAGTCGCGCGCCGGAGACCAAGAACGAGGGCTTCTGGGCTCTGGGTCGACCCTGCAGAGGCGAAATCAGAGGGGATGATATCAAAGTAGAGTTAAGTCAGAGTGTCCCCCCAGTCTACGGTCTGGGTCCTCTCCTGTTCTCTGCATATGGGCTTCGGGGGGTTCTCTGTCATCGGGTCTTCGGTCTTTCTTTCCAGCAACTGCCTTTCTGCTAGCAGCCATATTTCTCATTTTCTCTTCTTTTGCCTCCACATTTGGCGCAACTTGCAAGACGGCCTTCTAGTCCTTCGATTCTAACTAGTTCCTGCGACCGCTTCCCATCATCACCTTTTTCGAAACCGATCACCCCGCTCCACGTTCTGGGCATCCCTCCTGGTTCTTGCTCTTATAGCCCTGTCAACAAGGATCCGCCAAGCGCTAGCATTGCAAAGTCCTGTTCCGGGCCATTAGAGGAGCATGTTCAAATTGGTCAACCGTTCCAGATCTATGAAGAGCATGAGGACTGGTGGAGGGGCCCCCGGTGGTGTGCAGACGCACGGCCCAGAGTCCCCCGTCCTGGGGTCGCCGGGTCTTGTGTCAAGTTTCCAACAGACCAAGGAAGACTCGAGCGCTTCTCAAAACGAGGGCGTGCCCTTCTTCGCAAAGGACGCTGCCGCCGACGCTGCCGCCGCTGCTGCCGTTGCCGTTGAAACTCGCAACACATACCGCCATCGCCCGCTACCAACACCTCCATCCAAGGCATCTTCGACCATGGCTGAGCGGCCCAGCACTAGCGGAGGTCTTTCACCTCATAACTACAGCACCACCAGCTTCAGATCCTTTGCTGATAGACGTATGTCCAAGGATGACCTGTACATCAGGCCTCAGTCTTCAGCACGTGGTGGTTACAAGTCGTATCACATCCCGATACGGGACAACCCAGCATCTCCGGTAGAGAGTCCTGGCGACTTCTCATACGACTTCTCGCCGGCGCGCACCCTTACAGTCAGGACACAGACGCCAGATTCGATGGATAGCAACATGGGAACGATAGCAATAGGTATGGCCATAGGGAGCCCGACACATCCACCTCCGGACTTCACAGCGTCGCGCGAATTCCTTCCCTCGCCGATGCCCGCCCCGAGGGACGAGTGGCAACCACAGGCATCCAGCCTAAGCACGACCATGATGAGGGCCTCACCAACACCAGAACCGCCGCAGGAGATCCCGGAACCTGTGCCGGCCCCAAAGCAGAAGTCAGGAAGGTGGAAACTATTCGGCCGGTCAAAAAGCAAGAGACTCGCTTCATCCCCAGTCGCCATCTCACAGCCCATGAATCTTCAACACCCGGCACCGACGAGGACAGACTTCGATATCTCACCGACGACGAACCAGGCCACTGACTTGGGACGACGGAACACGGAGAAGAGGACGGCGGATAGCAAACCTGCCATGAAGCGCTCACAAACAGCTGGCCCGGTGGCCCCGCCGAGCCCGAAAGAATCAAAGCCCCCTAAACTACTAAGCAGAATGGCGTCCACACGATCGACCAAGAGCGTCAAGAAGTCGGACATATCTGCGCCGGTCCACGTCTCTATGGGAGTACCTGCTTTGCCGCCGAAGCCATCGGGTGGTTTCTTGGACGTGGAGATCCCCAGCATCACGATGGAGAGGTACAGTGTCATGTTCGGTAACGTCCTGGGACAACAGCCGAATGGACCACAAGATTCGACATCGGGACCACAAGGATTACAGCCTTCATCTTCGCTCCTGGCGAGGCGGCAAGCTACTCTGGACAGATTGAAAACGATCAACGATCAGGTCACGAGGGAAGAGGAAGAGAGGGAACGTACGAGGGGTCAGAGGGCAACATCACCACAGCCGCTCAAATCGCCCGCATTTTCGCTTTCCCTATTCCCAGCCACGCCGTCGGAATCGGCCAACAACCCGCCTCAGTCACCCCGTTTCCGCTCAAATACTTCACCCGCTTTCCTGTCGTCCCCGCAGAGGGCAAGCTTTGAGCCAGCTGCAGAGGAAAGGAGCCCAGAATCCATCAAGCGCAAGACCCCATCGCCCCAGATGAGCACGCGGTCCAATCCCCTGGAGCCCTCCGCCGTACACGACTTCGTCTTTGGCCCCGAGCAGTCCGGCCTCATGCTCGACTTGCCAACAGACGACAACGAATCCGAGGAAATCCGCCTGACAGAGCAACTGAAGCCGACCATCTACGAACCCTCATGGCAAATGACCACTACACCAGGCGAGTCCACGGCCCCGTCGAGCGCTGCGCCCAGCGCAAAAGACCGTTCTCCCGCGTCGGTATCCTCCGTCCACACGCACGTCACAAAGCCGTCCCTTGACGAGTCTGAGCCCGACGACGCGCTCCGTGCTGCCGTGGAAATCTCGATTGCCCGACAGATCAGTATCTCCAGGCAGCAGCGGCGGATGCTCCGCCCTCTGAAGACGAATGCGGTTCGCACCGGCGGCAGCCCGGGTGTAAGAAGCCCGGTGACAACCATCACAGTGGGCAAGAACGAGCGGCTATCCACGACAAAGAGCGCGACACCGACGCTCATCGGCCACGGCGAGACTTCTGAGCAGCAAATCGCGCAGAATCGCAAGAGCTCGCGTATCATCGTTGAGGATGACTTGGCATAAACTTGGGCATAAACTCACACGAGTCTGCGTGCGGCTCTATGGGCTTTGGACTCATGCTACCACATTACTTTGGACATTCTTCTTCTAATTCCCTTCGTCCACATACACTGATGGTGCTCGGACTCATCATCAGACTTACAACCACATTTGTTACTCAACTACCTTCTCACACACGGATTTTATTCCCTTACTCCGCCTTTTTTATCCACATTTTTCCCTTATTATTCTGGAGGACCATTTTGATATATGTTTGTAGCGGGATTCATGCGCTCGGTGAAAGGGGTTTTCTTCACTCAGGTTTCAGGTCTGGCGGGTTCGATGTTATGTTTGTGGTGTGTGTGTGGTGGCTCTATCAGAAAAGCAAAGTGCAAACGTCTTTTTTGTCTCTTGTAAGCGAGTTTCCCGAGAAACCAAAACACGCAGAAGGATTTTCGACGGGTATCTGATTTCAGTCCCGGGCCTCCACGTCCTCCTGTACTACGGCCTCGATGCTTCGTTTCTTTTGCGCGCAATCGATACCACTGTGGGGAGATTTTACCTTTTTTTTGTGTTTTGGTGTAGGAGAGAGGCACGGCGCGGCGCGGCAGATGTCGGACAAAGGCCACAACTTGATACTGCCATGTGTCGAGTTTGGTTCACATCATGAAGAAAGCTTTTTGGAGAGTTCCTTTTTTTGTTCTCTTGGATAATCCTAAAGCTTAAAAATAAACATGCCATTTTTCAGGTTCAACTTTTTTGAGTCAACACTTTCAGTAACAGGCCGTGATACATGTTGGTTATGTGTCCACAACTTGATACTTCCATGTACGTTGCAGACACACCTTGAGCCTCGAGTTAACCTGGCGAGTTTTCGGTCTCAGTCAGCCACGGCCACGCAGCAGTCACCAGACGCGTGGACTCCGCGTGGCGTTTGTAACTCCCAAAACTCTAGGTTAGAGCTGTAATTATTTCTTCCTCCCTGGAAGCCCAACCCCCCTCGTCCAAGTCGTTGAGTACACTTGACTGGCAAGACCTCGGTGTACCTGGTTGGTTTGAATCTGGGGGCTCACAAGACCACCATGCATTCCCGTCCGTGGAGGAAACGACCTGGTAACTGGAGGAAGCGAGTAAAAAGGAATAAATGGCTTCAGCCTCGCCTCCGTAGACATCGAGACCAAAACCTCAATGTTTTGACATTCTAAATCGACAACAGTAACTTCTGCGTGAATACTCCAAAATTCACCCAAGCTCAGATTTTCAACTACAATATGCATGTTATACATGGTCTTTTCCCGCACCCGAGAGACCGTCATCTGTTGAACCGCAAGAGAACAGTCGTCAGCAGAAGCGATTAAACGCCCCAGCATTCCTTTGTCTCAAAACGAAGAAATCAAGCAACAAAATGTCTCGGCTCACTACCGCCCTTTTTCCCCTTTTCTTCTTCTTCTTCTTCCTCTGCACATCTTATCCGTACAACGATACTTCTGCAACAGAAAAAGATTTGTATTAATCCTAAAACTCTAGCCGTCCAGGTGTCTCACTACTAGAAACAATTTGGCGGCCCGGTCCGAGGAGAAAAATTATGAACAATGGCCCTGCCACCGGCCTTCCATCTTCCCGCTGGGAGTGTAGGTAGTGCAAGAAGCCCCCCTCCTCCCCCGATGTTGTTGCAAAAAGAAGAAAAAAGTGAAGCATGGATAAATCGTTCTTGCTTGCAAAACCTAGCGAGCGTTGACACGGAGCGAGCGTTGACACGGAGCGAGTGTTTATGCAGAGACAGAGAGTTCCAAGGGGGTCCAACGCCAGAACGTGTAAAGACGATTAACTCAGGTGAGGGAAGCACGAGGTAATACCAAAAAAAAAAGGGGGTGACTTCTTTTTTTACATGACGATGCAGCACGAGTTTTGCTTCTTCGCCTGCTGGTAAAACATCTTGCTCTGGGAGCTGAGACCGTCACTCTTGGCCACCAGGTCGTCAATCTTTTCTCCGCGCTCCAGGACGCTCTGGATGGTCTTGTGCAGCACAATCTTGGTCTCGTCGAGCTCCTTTTGGATCTTGAGGATGGAGTCGGCCTGTTGCGGATCTTGGTACCGTGTCAGGTACTCCTTGAGCTCGGGGAGGACGAGCTTGGGTTCGCCCGTCGCCCATGTGGAGCGCGGGTGCTTGGTGAGGAACTCGTCGACGCTTTGTGGTGGTTCCTTTGTTAGCAATGATAAGGGGAAGGGGGGGGGCTTGGCGGCCCTGGGGAGATGGTGGACGTACATCTTGGAGAGAAGCTGGTGAGCGACGAGACTCGGGTATTGGTGATCGGAAATGATACTACAACAAGACGTTAGCACCATCCTTGGTGTACGTACGACTCCTTGAGAAGACATCTTCGGAGAGTCGCCCACTTACACGCCACAGATACCCTCGCTTCTTCCCACGCAGTGGAATGTGTTGTCGCCCTCCTCGATATCTTGCCTCTGGCCGGGGCGCGTCGACTCGGCCACCTTCTTAGAGAATAGGCTAATGAACTCGGCGTAGCTGTCTGTGTTTGGACTATCATCAGCCCAGGTTCAAGCATAGGGTATGGTGTTAGATCGAGGCCAAGTCGTCCGGCTCGTAGCTAGGTTGGCTCGTTGTCCATGCGCAATCGTGAATGGCTTACTTCTGGTGAATCGCGAGTATGCGGACAGCTCCATCTCGCTGCAAAGCTCGACGGCGGGCTTGCTGTCATTGCGGAGGATCTATGCGACGCAGGCGTTAGTTGCGAGTGTCCGGATTGAATTGCTGGGTCGCGGGTGGGTGTTTGTAGGATCGCTCGATGTCCCGAGGAGCAGCGATGGAAAAGAGACGTACTCCGATGTAGTGCAACTTCATTTTCTTGAATTGCGGTGTTAGTCGTCGATCGTAGATGTCGCCGTTGAGGCGGTCTGGGCGATGAGGGGAGATCCGGCTGCGACTTACGGCGGAGTTTGAGGGGTGAGAGGGGTAGCGAAAAGGTGTAGTCGTGGAGTTTGCTCGTCGCGTGTTCGTAGACAGTTCACAGAGAAACCGAGGACGTCGAGTTCGGGAGAGCGGACTGGTTTATCGTGGGAGGGTGAGAAAGTCAGGTATTCGTTGGGGGAATTGGGAATGGAGATAATGGAGAAAGGAGGCGATCCGAGTTGTAGGACGATGGAGAAAGCGTCCAGGTAGGTCTCGGCGTCGGTTCAAGGTTTACAGAGGGGCACCACCATACCGCGGGCACCTTGGGGAACGATTGGCTTAGAGGGGGCGATACATCACATGCACCACCCACTATTAGGAAACTTGGCTCAGCGGACTGCCCCTCTAGGCTGCAGAGTAATTAAGGCATTGATGTACGGAGTACCTTGCTAAGCATTGCGGTGACAGCCTGAGGTGTGGTGCCTGCCGCCAGCGGAGGCCCGGGCGCTCCCCTCTTCCGTCCTCAGTGTGGCGGTCAGCCCGTACCAAAGTACCTGTTTAAGAACTTAAGGTACCTACGAAGAGCGAGGTGCGTGACGTGACGTGACCTGATGGGTAAAAAGTCTAGAACCCCCACCACCCACGGACGCCATTGGGAGCGGGAACAAATCGATGGAACTCTGCCAATCTGTGTGCCACGGTGCGTTACCTAAGGTACCTTAGGTACGCTGACCTCCATGGCTGACAATGGAGGCCACAGTTGATCCGGCGGGGAGTTGGCAGCTGCAGGTACTTCCATCCCGCCCCACTATGCATCACGGCGGACGGCGACTCGGTGAATGACTCCTCCAAGACCGGGCCCGGCTTACTTACCACCGCTAGCCATCATAGACATTTCTGACTTCACAGGTCGTCTGTCTATATGAGGACTGGGAAGAAGTTGCATCATTCCCATTTTCATCCCTCTCCTTCTCCCATATAACAAAACATAAAATTGAGAGTTCCAACGACAACGCCCCCTCGACGACCCAACAATGGCGTCTGCAAATCTCAACAAGGCAGAGGCCCAGTGGCGAGCCCAGTTCGAGGCCATGAAAACGGCCTTGGCTGGTCTCAAGCTCCCCTCAGAACCTCCCTCGGATGTTGATTTCGACGATGAATACGAGGGCTACTCCTCAGGCAACGGTGCACAGGATGTTTGGGACTTTATCTCGGATGACGAAGACGACGAATACAGCAGCGACCAGCTAGACGGTCACGACGCCACCAACGGCGACGCTGCTTATGGCGCCGCCTGGTTCGTGAGCAAGTGCTCGTCCATTGCCGCGAAGAACGATCTAGCCGAAGACGTGTTCCAAAACCAGATCATCAGCATCTTGACATCCGGCCAGGGCGATGAAGAGCTCCAGTCCCAGCTGGCTGATCTCGTCGGTTTCGACGATTTTGACTTCATCATCGAACTGCTCGGCCACCGAAATGAAATTGTTACGGCCGTGACCTCCCAGGGTCCCCAAGAGCCCAAGGGAAGACTCTTGAGCAAGGCACAGCGTGAAGAGGCTTTGAGACGACAGGACTTTGAGCACAAGAATGCGACCCTCGCGCCCTCCATGACCAGGGAAGTCCAGTACCCCCATGTGTACAAGGCATACAATGCCGGAAACTCCCTCAGTCACTCAGGCCAGAAGTACGGTCTCCCAAGCGGCAGTGAGAGGCTACTGTTCGACAAGTATGAGGAGTATGCCATTCCTGCAGGGAAGAAGGGAGTTCTGGGTCCCGGCCAGAAGCTGGTCAAGATCTCAGAGATGGACGGTCTGTGTCGCGGCACCTTCAAGGGTTACAAGTCTCTCAACCGTATGCAGAGTCTCGTGCACCCAGTCGCATACAGGACAAACGAGAATATGCTCATTTGTGCTCCTACTGGTGCCGTAAGTCGCTTCAAGTCTGTCCCGATACATGCGGATTACTGACTGGACACAGGGTAAAACGGATGCTGCCATGCTCACAGTTCTCCAAACCATTGGCCACTACTGCACGCCCAACCCCATCGAAGACATGACTGCCACAGACTTCGCAGTTCATCTCCAGGATTTCAAGATCGTCTATGTCGCCC